TTTTTTTATTAAAATGTTCAACATCGTGGATAAATCCTTATATGCCCCCGGCAACACACAGAACGTCAACTTTGCCTCCTTATTACACCCAGCCCTACTTAAGTGGGAACAATGAGTCTGCGTCTTCGATCCGCACAGGTGGATGATGTGGGGATCAGAGTCCTGCATCGGGTCGGGTACCCAACGGGTGACCCGCAAAAAAAGTGATTCGCGGGTGGTATTTTTTCAAACATTTTCTTCCGGGTTCGGTTCTAAAGGAAAGAAGATGCGGGTCGGGTCGCGAGTGTTGCATAATAAATACATTTAAATAATAATAATTGTATTTAATGTTTAAAGATTCCTCAGACCTCTCCCCCGCGGAACCGCGCATAATCATAACAAACTGCACTGCATCAATCTGCTGCTGAGCGCGCCACATTCGAAATGGCTGAAGTGAAGCTCTCTTGCGTAAATAACTCTTCCTCCACAGCGAAATCCAACATCTGGGAGGCTTTTGGTGTCATCCTAGATGGAGAAAATAATCAACATCCCACGCTTTTTGAGCCAAATACGCAACTGCGTGTGTTAGTAATTGCATGTTTTCACTGCTCATAGGATATGCAGGTTTGGGTCGGTTTGCGGATCTTGTGCCGACAAGTCGGGTCGGTTTGCGGAACTAATTGGCAATATGTGCGGGTGGCGGGGCGGTCGCGGGTACGGGGCGGGAGCGGGTCTTGAAAATCAGACCCGTGCAGGACTCTGGCAGGGATGCAATGTAGACAGGAATAAACGCAGATCATCCTCTGGCAGCAGTACTTGAATTTGTTCAAAGTCAATGCGGAAAACCCGCACTCACACAGGTAGGTGGAGGTGAATGAGCACTTTTACAGCCTTTTTGGCGAGTTGGGGGAACTCAGTCTCCACAGACAGCCAAAAGTGTGCAAGTGACACTTTACTCATCTTTTTCTCGTTATTTTTTTTCACACGCTACGCCTCCCCTGAAGCTCTCTGGCGCCCCCCCAGGGAGGCACACTTCACACTTTGAAAACCGCTGATCTAGGTGACAAATCAAAACGATTCAATTTTGTCATGACAACAGGCCATCAGAGCTGTCTGATTATAGGACTTTTTATGGCAGCATTGCCTTTAGTGCATCCATCATCTCTAGTCATGGTGTTAACTTATGTTCTATAATAATGTCAAAACCATTGACGGACAACCATTATAACATTAGGTTAAACTACACCTGGCTGGAGGGGGTAATTTGATACACTGTTATTATGAAAGTATACATAATAAGTGCTAATAATTTGAGAAACATATTACATTTAAGGATTGATTTAAACAATGTTTTTCGATTCCTTAAATCAAAACAAAAATGAACGGCGAGAAAAACTTTTAGTCCACAAATTATGAGTATCATAATTTGCACGAGGCTTGTCAAAGCACTCCACAAACCACAGAATTCTCCTATCGACCTCAGAGGCAAATATTCTGAATGGCCAGTGAGCTCACACACAGGCATCAATTTTCAGAGAGCTTGTCTGTAGCAAGTGACACTGATAAATAGGAGCAATCTCTTTTTTTTCTTTCCAGCTATCCCAGGAGGAGGGGTAGGGGGGAGCAAGTCCCAATGAAAGAGCTGAATAAATCAGCAGAGTGAGATATCCTCATTGAGTGAAGAACATAGCAAATATATGTAACAGCATCATGTATGTATAGCAAACCTTTTAGTTGTGAACACTTGGGGGAAAAACTATCACTGAGGGAAGTTCGTTGTATTATAAGACAGCAACGGGAAAACATATTGATGGTTTACATTAAGAATTGAAAGCTAATCTGCTTGTTGTTGAAAAAGCTTTTTCAGTATGTTTAACACAAAGAGCCATGCAGTTCTTTGGCCGCCCATGAATCCACTTACTTACTAATTAAAAAAAGGGTCAACTAAGTGATACAAGGAGCAGAGCGTAATCATGCAATCAGAATTTTCTTTCACCCTTGAAATTAGATCTGAGCATCAAATACAGCAAACCTGTCTGGCACCACAGAGTTCATTTGCTTACATTAGAATGTCTGCCATGACTAAGTCATGGGATTATACTATTTTTGACTTGGAGTGTCAGAGTATGCCAAATGTTTGCTTTATTTCTAATGATTATCTCCAGAGGAAAAGGCTCTCAGCTTCATTACTAATGAAGTCAAGTACAAACACTTCACACGAGCCATACTGCAAAGAAGCCTCGACTCCGGGGAAATTATATATAGCACTTGACCCATAATTCTACACTTTGGTGTCCATTCCAAGTTATAGGAATGTCAGGAAAGGGATTTGAACTGGTTGTGGTGATGAAACCAGCCGATGATGATCTTTTCAGTGCTATTTGTACACCTGAACACACATAAAATAGTTTTTTTTACATATTAATAAATTGGTCATTATTTTAAATGATTTTTATCATCAAAGAATTTGCTTTACACTACTTATCTGGAATCTGCAGATACTTGCATCACTGTTCAACGTTTCTGTTTGTGCCTAACACACTCAAAATCTAGATACGAATCTACAAATTCATTCAATTGCCTCTGAAAATTGCCCTGGGACATGTAAATGAAACTAATCAATTTGTAATGTTGTAAACAGCACCTAGCATTTCCTGCTATGATAAGTCAAGATGTCAGCTGTGAATCATAGTTCTAATGTCACATGGCATGTGACATGTAATGTGCGTGTTCATGGATACACACGCGTGATGGATTATTACCTTCTCTCTGTTTGATCTTATCATCTAAATCGTATACACAGTACATATACGGTTAAGGAATAAATCTACTACAGTGTCGATGGCAAACCTTGAAGGCTTCAAATAAATTCACAATAATTGGCATTACAACATGTATTTGTAGCAACAATTGTGTTTCCTATAATCACTTTTAATGTAATTGTAATGTGATTTATTGTGTTGAAGTTCAAATAATGCCTGGGATAATCTCTTTGATATTCTTTGTTTCTGCATTAATGTGTTTGGATTATTTTATTACCTTTATAGGTATCTTGTAAAATGTGTTTATCTCTTGACATTTAATAATTGGTCTTGAATATATATGCTAAGCCTAGGTTTAATATTGTCAAATGCAGTAAAATATTTACTTTACCAAGTTATTGAAGAATGTTTCTGTGTGCTACAAGAGCCTTTTTTTAAGGATTATACCATAAACAGTAAAGATACACTTAATTAACAGAAAAAAGTACACCTACTTTTATTTGAGACCATCCATATAATAAATCTAAGGCCCTGGCAGCCAATGGTTTTCGCATTGTCTTTACTGTAACCAATGTATTGCCTATTATTTTTGTTTTTTTTAAGAAAGGGGGGAGATGAGTGACCACTGCCACTTGAGTTTTTCCTCAATAACCCTCTAATTAGTGCTTATTTATTGTAAGTAAGGCAGTTGTACATGAGTTTTGGTCTTAATATGCGCTGCCCAATATGGGCCTAATAAGGCAGTAGTACCACAAGAATAGTAATTCTCCCATAATAAGACTTAACAAATATGATATATTCTTATGTAACAAGTCATGAAACTATAAGTGTTAATTGCGTCTAAATAACTCAAAATTAGGTATTTATATCTAAGAACATGTTCCCTTTTTTAAAGTGAAGTCTTGTTAATAACCAATAAGCTAGTAGTTTGACTCTAATTAGGTATTTCTATCTAAGAACATGTTCCCTATTTTAAAGTGAAGTCTTGTTCATAACCAATACGGTGTACTGTTCTCTCTATGTGTTGTACTGTCTCAGTGTGAACATAGATTAAACAGCCAGCCAAACTCTTTTGAGAGCCAGGGAACGGGCAGCCATGCTCCTTTCTTGACTTATTTGCAGTCCACTGACATTCAAACGCATGCATGTTAATTAACAACTAGTTAATGGTTAATTTGTGTACCTCAATATAAAGTGTTACCTTTTTTTATTATATATAAAGTTACCTTTCACCTCCAAAATATTGGAAAAAGTTGTGTTGTGTGCATACAAACAGGCACATTACAAAGAGTTTACCTTAACACACCAACCACATGAGGAATAAACACAGCCTTGAATCCAAATACAGAACAAGTCTCCACACAGATTTGTGTTTCTATTGTTGCTGAAGAAACAGTTGGAAATCAGGTTCAAGGTCAATGTTAGCTGTCGTACAAAGCAGCCATCAACAAATCATAATTATTTGAATTGAAAGCATCGCGTCTCTGATGCTGCTTAGCCCTGGTAAGGCTGAAACAAGTAGTGTTCTGGGGAACGAAGACAAATGATTAAATACCGCCAGCTGATGTATGTGTTGTAGTTTGTGCAAAGTCAAACTGAATGCAGTTTTACTGACATTGAAGGCAGAGGTTTGGTTTAATTAAAGCAGGCAGTGAAGTAATGCTGTCTTAAAATCCTAGTTATAATGGTTACAGGCTTTGGTGGCTTGAGCGTGGGAGAATTTTAATATCCACCTGACACAATAGAGATGAGGGGGACACATAGTGTATAGGATTTTGAAAGTCAAGAGGACAACCCCTAAATCACTCCCCTTACATGGCTGTATTTAAATACTGTATAATTACAAATGAAGCACCCTATGTAACAAAATCCTGAAACCATGTTTGTAAGCTGTTGTGCTGACATTCAACGTCAACATTGAAGACACTGGTTTTGAAGGACTCTGTATACAGAGACACAAGTTCAAGCACACACTAACACTCTCCCACACAGACAGAAAATAGACATACAGTACCGAGTAGTAAACAGTATGAAGTGAAACCACCTTGTGCTGATAATCAGACAGGATGTCCAGCCATGCTTCTGTGAACACACAGGGATTACATCGCTCAACTCACTCTGATCCCACCTGCTCTTGGAGAAGGCATACAGTGGGGAGAGCGAAATTGAAGAAGAGATGGGGCCAGCGATATTGGAAGACGATGAAACCGTGCAGCAAGGAGCAGATCGGATGAATTCTCCCAACATTTGCTGCAGGGTAAATATTGTAGGGGTGGGAGCACAGACCAACAAAAATGAAAACAGGAGATGATGTTTCTTACCACTATCTTGAGCACAGAGCTGAAGATCTTGGTGTCCTCCGTCACGCCGCCAATGTAGAGGGTCCTGGAGAAAACAGGAGGGTGGTCGTTCTCATCCTGCACCTCAATGAACACCTTGGCTGTGTTAGCTGCAAAAAGCAAATGGCAACAGAATGCATTCAAACCATGTGGGAGTAAATACATAATAAATACATATAATTCATTTGCAAATGTTGAGACGCGACTCCATTCTGTGTACTTCAATGTACCTTTTCAAGCATTTGGTACCCAAGGTTTAATGAAACCTTTACAAAATAAGAATTTGGACCAGACGAGTACAGCAAGCGTATATCTGCAAGGTCTCTAACTGTTGAATAAAGACATTTCTGAAGTCAGCCACACTGGCACTAATCAAAAGTTGCATAACTGAGCCTAAAAATTGTCATTTCAATATAATATTTCCATGGTCATCAGTTGGTCCACGACTTCAAAGGACAGCTTTAAAAAATTCAGAAATATTTAGAATGTTTCATCACTGGAAAAAACGTAATGTATTTTTCAACAAAGATGTCATTGGCTAGCCGTCACCAATTTAACTATAATACATTTAATATCTGACGAGGCCCGGTTTGAATATTTCTGACATTTATTTAATACATTTTCACTTGAAGGAATCAGATTCACCCAGCTTTTGAAATCTGACTGAAAATAGTTTCTGTGGGAAGATTCACTGCACATAGAACACTTAGTTTTACTTTGACCAAAAGTAAATTAAGTACATTTAGGAAAACACGTCTTTCTTTAGCAGCAATTTTAACCTGCAAATCTGTTGCAAGAACTGTTTAAAATTGATTAGTTGAAGAGAGAAACATTTTTCCTTACTCAACCAATTAAAATGAAATATGCAAAAACTATTTTGGAGAAGATGAAAACTTGGGAGTCAACAATGATGAGGTTTATTTCAATAGATTTAAGGACAACTTTTGAATCGAGAAAATAAGACTAAAGTGTGTTGATAACTTCTCCCTCCCTGACCTTGATAAGAAGACCTGGCAAACAACTGAGCCATTTTGTCTTCTGTTTACCAACCAATTATTGAGAATCCTCACACTCTAAGTCAAATATGGCTCAGTAAAATAATAAAAGATGATGAAACCTTGCCATCCAAGTCATTATTTTTAAGTGAGGTCTACATAGCAACTTTTATTGGAGAATTTGAGGACATTATTTTCCCCATTACTTGGTGCATGAGGATTCCATCAATAAAATGCTCTGAAAGTTTAACAGGCAAGCAATTTGCACAAGTGCAGTGGAGAAACAGAGACCTTGTGAGAAAACAATGTGGAAAGAGTCAATCAATTTGGTATTGTAGCAATACATTTGCTGGTTAACTGGCCTGTTTGTGAGGCTTGTGAAATATTCATCCTGCCCCTTTAAAAGAAAACCACACATACTGTATGCTGCGTACAATAACATTTGTGCCACCTAATTTGTCACAGTTACATCTATGCATTGAGCAGCATAAATATATACGGCAGAAAAACCTTTCAACACTGCAGTTTAGGTAAAGAATATGCAGTGTCAAGGTCCAGGACCATTTTGCTTCTGGTGGCATACAAAAATGTAAAGCCATGTCGCATTGGAGCTAAGGATGTACCAGGGGAATTGGACAAACAAAAACACAGCACATCAAATTACTGGCACAAAAGCTGGAGTGCTCGGCACAGAGGAAGGACTCCAGGGGGTGGAAGTCTTTGTAAAAAGCGGCTATATTCCATCCTCAGAGTATCAGGATATAAAAACATAAATGTAGCACACCGTTCCTGTCTCACACTCACTAACACATAAAGATGCATGAAAGAAACCGGTCCATTAGGAGGAGGGATTGCTGCTAAAGCAGACTAATATTGAGGGTGCCCAATAGTTCATTCTCATCATCATCAACAAAAACAACAACAACAACAACAACAACAACAACAACAACAACAACAACATGTTAACACAGTCTCACTCTGGATTACTGCAAGTCAGTAGGTTATGTGCATAACAAGGTTCAAAATGGGCTTAAAGAAGTCAACATAAAAACATCTGTGCATAATGCTTTGATTTTAAACTCATATGAGAGTAGAAAGACTTGCAGTAAAACAAGTGAGTAATAATTGTTTTTTCTACACTCTAAACACACTTTGAAAACAGGAAGTCAGCCTATAGATGCCAAAGAAGCTCTTCAATCCTCTATTACAGCCATCTAATAAGGCGTTGTGAGTGGTGTGTTTGTCTGAGTATTATCTACATGTAATTAGAGACAAGCGCTGCAGGAAGGAGTGAAGAAGAGCACGTAGAGAAGAGATGGATTCAGAAGGAGGTGTAAACCCAGCTAGCACTTCATCCATCATTCACAGAACTTTCCTCTGTCCACAAACGAACCCCATGGTATCCCAGTTGGAGCATGGCTATCAAAGAGAGTGCGGTCGGATGATTTCGATTCAGAAAAGTGCTTCGTGGACGATCAGAAAGCATCTCAGACCTCCTTTCTGACCGCGCTACGTCTATATTACTGTGTGTCTGAAATAACTTTCTGAAATGTTCAAACAATCGTGCCCACTTGAAGAAGCAATCGGCCAGGTATGAGGAAAAGTATGTTTGAAGATGTCCCATTACTTTGTGTTTGTACAGACGAGTTCAACATCCCGAATGCATTTGAGGGGAGAAATGATGGGAAATTATCCCCGTTTCATTAGCCTATACTACAAAGACAAGCAACAGCTGCATTAACTGACAATTTGCTTTGATTTATGTTTTGTCACCCACTCTCGTTTTGGGGCAGTTCTGGTTAAGTGAAAACAAATGGGCCATTTCTGATCATTAGACCGATACAACAGATTTGGACAGTGTTGTTAAGGATTTATGATATTCTCCTTTGACGATACGGACAAATCGTGTTTCATGGTTATTATAATAATCACCATGACTGACAGATGCACACAGAGCGGGTACAAGAATATAACCACATTTTATGAAAACGCATTGAGCAATTCCATAAATGAATATAAACACAAAGTACAAAACTGCTCGCATCATAGCCTGCATGTATGAAAACGAACAAAGTAAACAAATAAACCTAAGTAAAGTAAGTCAATTTAAAATCTGCTCTGTGTTCAACGGAGTGGAACAATAAACAACCAATTATACATAAGGATCAGTACAGTAAGAAAGGCCACACTAGAATAAAGTATACTATAAACCTATATATGTACACACTGGTTTTCAAATATGCAGCCTACATGTAACAATGTAGGTAGCACACATACATATCAAGTTTATTAAAAGGTATATTTTTATACTGTACGGTTCATATTAAACTGGGCAGAATGTAAAAATCTCTACATATGTACAAACTAATGATGTAAAATAAACCTACATAATTGCGTTACACATGAACATGCATTTGAGGGAGGAAAATAAATTGGATATCATTTCCATGACTGCATTAAACTGTACTGTCACAGTGAGGGATTATTATGATTAAATATAAATGCAACACCTGGAACAGATTCATCCCTGAATTTCTACAGTACAGCTCAACCTCCACATTAACCCATTTATTGAACACTGTTTCTTACTTTTAGAAGGCACACGCAGGTTGGACATGACAACCAACATGGAGTCAGCCTGGACCCGAAGCACATAGCTCGTCACATTTTCATAATCCAGAGGTTTAGCTGTTGAGATGACACCTGTCCTGTTGTTAACCTGAAAATGACCTAGAAACAGACAAAGTCAGAGCACAAAAGACTGAATAGATAAACAGAATGGTTACTTACAATGTTAAACTTTAGCACAAGGTTTTCTGTTCAGCGTGATAGCAGCACTTAATCAATGTTGTGTAAATGCTGGAATTACAACTGAATGCATTAATACTCCTCCACAGGCTCTCTTCTTCTCTAGGATAATTGGTTCATAAGCGAAGAGCTCAATAAAGCCTTTTTTGTACTTATTATATAAAAAAAGCTGCAACGATGTGAAGTTGAATTATCCAGAAGCAGAAGAAAAAACAGTTATGTGACAGTAACTGTTGTTGGACATACAAACTGCATTATATTGTTGTATAAAGTAATTATTATTCTTCTGTAAATGTTTCTCTTTCTGAGAACACTTTTGGAAATATTTCATATTATGTTAATATTCATTCTGTATTTACTACTCATTTTATTGTCTACTTTCTCTATCAGCCTGTCTCATATTATTTCTATTAGTAAAGCACCTTGTAACATTATAAACAAGGAATAAATAAAAATACTAAATACTTATACTAAAAAAGAAAGCTTTATATTGTAATATAGGCTGCTTACATGCTCTTCTTTAAATACTTTTAAAAGAACTTCGTAGATGGAGAACTGACAAAGGAAATATCACAGAAAGACAATAGATGTGTTTCACTGGCATGGACAGACACTAACTCCTGTGTGGCAATCTGAAAAGGCCAAGCTTCAAAGTGCTTTTGCTTTTTCTGAGAATATTACTGCGGGGGGCCTGGAGGTGGATTTATAGCACTCTTATTAAGTCTTGAGCCTGGGATTTTCAGGAGCATCTTAGGAAAAGTGACACTAACTCATGTTTCCACATGACACAGACCACTACAGGAGCACTTGAGGTGCATGCTGGGAAAAGGTTACTGACTGACAGTGCGCTAATACACTGTGCTTTCTCCAGCTACGTCTCCTACTTTTTTCTTAAACACCTGAGCTAACCTCACACCTGTCTGGTGTTTTCTCTCTTTCCCAGGGTGTAATTAAGATGTTCAGACTCTCAGTGAGAAAAGCAGTCTACAGCAGCAAGTGTGTCAAAGCTGTCTTCTTCTGTGGCTTTGACGTTCATACGGCAATGTTTAAAATAATCTGGGAGCTTTGCCAGGAATATTTTAAATCTGCATCTTCTGATTTGAGTGAAAGCACATATTATTTGACAGTTTTCTTTACTGTGATGGTTTGTCGACATCTGCAGCCGTCATACATTCTGCTTCGTGTCTGGTCCCCTTTTCAAGCTTTAGATTCACATTTAATGTATTAACATTAGCTCTAATGATTGTACTTTTTTAGCAGTGGTCCACTTCAGTTTTTGGATATATTGAAACTGAATCGAGATTGGTAAACACAAACATATGTATGTGTGCTCAATGTAGAATAACAAATAAAGAACAGGAACCAAATACATTTTTAATTGAAGCATTTCCATAATTTGAGTGAGTGTGTTTAAATGAAGTGGTAGGAGACAAAGTATCATAATGCAAAAAAATGCATGCAAATGACTGTATGGAATATTATCTGGACTACATACCTAGTTCATTTCCTGCAACAATGGAGTAGAAGATGGTTTGATTGATAGCAGCAGCGAAAATAGTCCCGACCCGTGTGCCTAATGGAGCCAGCTCACTAACCAAAGGGAACCTGGAAAGAAGAAGAACATAAATCATAAGACAACAGATATAAATAATTGAGGAATCTATTAAGTTCCATATTCCAATATCACAGGTACAGTATAAACACAGTTAGGATAAAGACAAGGGTCCTAATAGAAGCCAACGTATATGTACATCGGTATACGTACAAATACAATGTTTGGAATACATTCAATCTGATTAAGTCAGGCTTGATTTTAATCCCTTTCGAGACTTTATTTTCCTCTAAATAGTTCACTGTTCGGAAGAGTCACATTTAAAAAATAACTATACCAAAAAGGAATAATAAAAACATCTTCATTTTAGTGTTAACAACAGGCCTCTTCCAATGATCTTGGTGGGGTTTGATCCCTATTGTCTTTCTTACAAAAGTATTTTACTTTTATTTCACTCCATTCTCCAGATACTGTAACAATAAAGCACATTACTTGCTCTTTTCGGGTTAATAAATAAGTAAACCATTTTTGCTCTAGGGGAGCATAATGTAGTTTTGGAAAAATACAACTCATAAATAAATTATTCACAACTGCTTGGATCAATGCCAGATCTCCCTACATATTAAATAATAGCAACACAGAATGCTTGAGAAGCAGAGATGAGGTTTCTCTGTAGGGAGGCCGGTTTCATTTTAAGTGATAAAGCGCGGGGATCAGAGGCTCAAGGAGACCTCTGTATCAAAATGCTGATCCTTCTATTGATTGGAACCGACCAGTTTACGTTGTCCCTGACCCACCGAGCTCGCAGCGCTTTTCCGTCCTGACCCCGGTCTCTGCTGACAATTCAACGTGCTGAATTGTCAGCTTGAGAAAACCTTCAAAGACAGCCACTGTGATCTGTTTTTAATCCAAAGGGAACCAGTCCACGAGAAGGAAGACAAAGGTGAGGAAAACAAACAAACACAGTCTCTTTTCATTTCTTCGTACCCAACATATGCGGTATGGCATGTTTGGGCTGGGCTGTGTCTTAAACCCTGAACAGGACAGGTTCTTAAAGATAGAATAAAAAAAATGATGAATAAAACATAATAATGCAGATCAATTTGTGTAAATCTGGGACTGTTTTTCTTTAACTAGCTCTAATGAATTATTTAGAATGTAATGTTCCTTCAGCAAGAATGAGCAAGACCATTTTAACTCAAATTCTAACTCAATTTTGTTAACAGATAACTAAGAATCATATCCATATACAAGGTTAGATAATAAATACAGCACAAATTGTTCTTGTGAACGGATTCAACTGTATTTCGTCCTGATACGTAAGACTATCAGCTAATGACTATGCCTGACTATCAGGCGTACGAGTGGGTAATCATATCCAGCAGATATGATTGTCACCACTCTCCGCAGGATTAACTGCCGCCATAAATAGCAGGGATTCCAGTTTTGTCGGTGTGTAGGCAAGGGATGATTTAATCTGATAATGTCATCTCACCGTGACAGCCCTCATGTGATTCTGTGACTGCCTTCTCACTTATTCTTTCATCTTTGCATATTAGGTGTGTGTGTCGATGTGCATTTAAACTTTGACTACCAGCAGCAGTGAGAAACATGTGACAACGTTGTGGGAGTAATGCTCACACTATAATCTGTGGCAGTCAGATTGTATTATACAGTGTATGTCAGTGTTACGAGATATTTTTGGGAAAAAAAAGCTATCTTGGCAGATTGAGTTATATACATGGACTGGAGGCGATTAATAGCCTTCAGTCCATGTTCATACTGTAACACTTAATTCAATTATTTCCCTTCTCTAGTCTTTGTTGACCCCAGAGTTTCAACACATTTTACCGCATGAATAATACAATTGTCAAAAAAAAAGAAAATGTGGTCAGCCAACGTTTCCTTCAGGGTGGATCGTTATTTTATAGACTCAGAGCAACTCATAGGTTTGCAGTTTTCGAAGGTTTCAAAAGTAAAATTGAACCGATTTTTCAGGTAGAGATGAACAGCGGAAGAACTTAATTCACACAGAAAAAGAGAAAGGCAGATGTTGGCAAAATAAATGTAACCTGGTAGACAGTTTGCAATTGTGATAGTCACTATAGATTATGTGTTTATCGCACTAAAGCTTCAGAGGCAAACAAAAGCCCAAACAGTCATTCTCATACAACATTCAAGTAAAAAAAGATCCCTCTAGTCATCCTGGGGGCAACAACAAATGCCACTGAAGACAAACAATTCCCAAGGATGTCTTGGGTTGAGAAATATTCTGTAAAAATCAAGCCATTCTCCTGGGCGGATGTATTATAACAGATAATATGATGTTATATTGTGGTTCGTGAACCAGACTCAATGTGCTCACAAAACCTTTCCCCAAGAAATACAGTGTTGTTATTGTGAACAATGTGTTGTTTGGATAATACTAAATGACTTCTGATCAATTTCTCCCTAGGTGTACTGTTGGCCTGTCACTGAATAATTGCTGTCTCTGTGGTATCCAGAAGCGATAAGCCACACCATGCACTACAATGATGGGAACCATTTCATTAATGTGACCTTCATATAAGTAGATTACCCATTTGGCTCAGGAACAGGCTGACTCAAACACAGAGGGAAGCACTTGAACAATGTGAGCACAGCGAGGTGCAGCACGGCTCGATATGCGACTCTAAATCAGTCACATAAATGTGGCATCCATTGGAACAAAGGGTGACACAATGGCTGTCACTAAATGCATGTGCCTTCACTTTTAATACACTTTTCAGTGTGTTCTGTAGATTAACAGCCCAGAGGTGGGCCTGTCATTGGCCATATGAGACACACTTACAACGCTCTTGCCTTGGTTGACATTAATAAAATGTGCACAGATTCAACTGGTGCTTGACTATTTAATTGCTTGCTGTAAATGCCACTGTTCCACTAGATTTTGGATTTTCCATAACTTTACTTGGCTGCTGCAATGTTGACACATGCAATTAAAATACCAATGCAGATGATGGGTACAAGGAGACATAATTTAAATCAGGTTTTTTTTGCATATGAAGCTGTTATGCAGTAAATAATCTCTGCCAACCCTCTTACTATTGCCTACTGCACTGAATGAAGGGTACTCACCAAGATATTCACCATTTATTGCAAAGGCAACATACTGTAGTGTCAGCTTCATATGGGTCAATAAGGGTGCTCAGCTCTTACCTTTTCCAGCAGTTTTTGCAGAGAAAACCATAATTTGGACCTCAATGCGTCGTCTAAGTCAGTGGTTCCCAACCTTTTTTCCCAAGAGCCCCTCCAAATGACTCCTGTTGGAAGTTGCGACCCCCCCCCCC